CTAAACCAAACAACCAAACAACACACACACANACACACACACACACACANAGATATATATATATATATATATATATATATATATATATATATATATATATATGTATGTATACGTATATACATATACATATACATATACATATACATAAACATAAACATGTGGATATACTTATACATATACTTCTACATAGGAAGCTTACCGGTCATCTTCATCAATGAGCACCAAGTTGAGGTAGTACCGAACCGAAAACCGTTTACATATGTCAGTCATCGACGGTGTCAGGTCAAAGCCCGCCAGGAACAGTCGGATAGGAATTGACTCACCTGTGGGCCAAATTGCAGAAGTATTTTAAGCGTGTTAAGGATTAGGGATAATGATATACATATATATATATATATATATATATATATATATATATATATATATATATATATATATATATACGTTTGTACATGCATACATACATACATACATACATGCATGCATGCATACATACGTACATACATACATACATACAACATACATACATACATACAGGCATGCATAAATATATACATACATACATACATTACATACAAACATACGCATGGTGCAAATGGGAGCAAGGAATAATGCACCACGCAGAGATATGATTACTGATTATGCTCCTCCTTCAGAGTAAACCAATGCTAAACAAAAACAGTAATAGCCCTTACATTGGCAGGTGCTACAACCCCCATTGTCCAATCGGATGCACATGTACACTGTAGATCAGATATACAGATAGATCCGGAAATATAAAACCCTGGCACGAGTGTACGTGTTCGTGTTCACGTGTGGGACTCTACACCAGCACCATGACGACAACCGCATATATTCTTAGCTTCCTAAATAGTTAGTCATATATTGAAATATGGTATATAGGCTTCTGGAATATCATAGACTGAAGATAAAAGGTGAATTTGCATCTTAACTGTGGATTGCATACCTTTAACGGGTGCTCCATCCATTATTTCGAATTTAGTAACTGTCTGTGTCTCTGTGGAGGTGCCTTTGCCCACTCTGTGACAATTTGCAAAGAAAATTAGGATGAAGTTAAATTAGGATCAAAGTAGGGTTAAATCTTGAGGCGGGGTTAATATATTTTTGGGTTTGAATAAAGATGAACGTGATATATTTTAGGAATGGCAACTGAATGCTATTTTAAAAGTGATACCCTGTTACGCCTGTACAAAACTTACCCTAAAGTCTCCTTCCTGACGATAGCCAATTCCATCACTTTGACCTTTATCCGCACCAGTACAAAGAATATTTTGCCCACGATTACGTCCCTCAAATGGTATCTGCAGATGAGGGTGAATGCACAGATATGAATGACTGTGTGTACACGTAGTCATATCTCCGTAGTGTACGTATATAAATTGATGTAAGTTCGTATATTAGGGCGTAATTACATGCATGGGAGTGTATGCGTATCAATCGTGTGCGCGCACAAACTAAGACGAATCTTAGTGCTTAGCAATGTGTGAGTATCAATTGGTGTGAGTATCAATTGAAGC